TTTTTGAGATAGAGTCACACTCTGTTGCCTGGGCTACAATGCTGTGACGTCAGCCTAGCTCACAGCAACCTCAAACTCCTGGGCTCAAGTGATCCTCCTGCCTCAGCCTCCCGAGTAGCTGGGACTACAGGCATGTGCCACCATGCCCGGCTAATTTTTTCTATATATTTTTAGCTGTCCAGGATCATTCAAGCTCAGGAGTTCGAGACCAGCCTGAGCAAGAGCGAGATCCCATCTCTACCAAACATAGAAAGAAATTAATTGGCCAACTAAAAAATATATATACAAAAAATTAGCCGGGCATGGTGGCACATGCCTGTAGTCCCAGCTACTCGAGAGGCTGAGGCTGAGGAGGAGTTTTGAGGTTGCTGTGAGCTAGGCTGACGCCAGGGCACTCTAGCCCAGGCAACAGAACGAGACTCTGCCTCAAAAAAAAAAAAAAATGAAAAAGAAAACAAGCAGAGGAAATTAAGGATCCCACGGAAACAAAGGAGTCATAATTAGAAAGTGCACTGGCCGCCTCAGGCACCTGGAAAGAGGAGTGGCTTGTTAAAGAACCTGCACTTCACCGCACCAACAGAAGAGAGCATTCTTGAACTAAGAAACCTGGTAAGCCACTCAATCCCTCACCTCCTCTGTACACACACCGTGCTGTTGCTGATCAAGAAAAATCCAAGACACTTTAAAATGAACAGAAAAAACTAGGCAACCTCCATACAAACCCACCACAAAGCAGAAAACAGTAAGAATCTAAATTTTTCCACCAATAAAGATACTCTCCAAAAAAATGAAGCAGAGAAAAACATGAATTAAATATAATTAAACTAGCAGCAGTGTATACACACACACAGTAAAAAAAAAAAAAAAAAAAAAAAACCCTACCATGAATAAGAAACTCCTGATATAAAAGGACAAAAAGGGTGTTGGAAACAATTTATTTAGCTCAGAAAAGAAAGTGAAAGAAAAGAGAAAATCACTTCAGAAATTAAGATGAAATCACAAGGTGTTTAGAGGAGAACATTGGAAAAATACCCAAGAGAATGAGCAACGGTGACCTACTCGGGCCGTGCTGATCGCTAAGCCACCACCTCTCAGCTCCAGACCTTTCCTTCCAGCCGCAGCTTGGTGCAGCTGGGGCCGGGCTGGCCTTTGGCAATCAGGGGAGCAAAAGGGAACCCTCTGGCTGGCGGGGAGGAAAGGCCTCTTCTTCCTGCCTGCTCACTGTTCCCGTGTGTGTGTGTGTGTGTGTGTGTGTGTGTGTGTGTGTGTGTGTGTGTGTGTGTGTGTGTGTGTGTGGCGCTCGCCCCTTCCTCAGAGTTTGAGCTCCCTGGGGCCCCATCCCTAAGTGTCTACACTGTCCCCTTGCTTCTTGTTTCTTCAGCCCTAGGAGTGGAAGCCGCCGTTGCTACCTCCCTGATGCCTTTCAGTTCTCTTTTTATTCTTTCACAATTTTATAATGAACACATTCTTACCTAGTGAACATTTTTTACATTAAATTCTTACTGTTGAAATCCCTTGGGTGAATACTGTGTCTTGGCCAGACTGGGCTACACTGGCCAAGGTTAGGAGAGAGGGAATTCATTGAAATGATACCAGGTAGTTCATAGGAAGAATAGGATGGCCTGAGAGCCAGGCCAGAGAGGACAGAAGCCAGCGGCGCTCACCTGCGGGGTCATCTGGGCAGGACAGGCTGCGAGCGTGTCCGCCGTCACCACCACAAACCCCAAGAAACAGAAGACCATGAACGGGCAGGTAAGGCTTACTCTGCAGAGAGGCAGGGACAGGACAGCAAGGAACTTTGAAGCCTAGTTTTTAGACAGTTTCACTTTTCTTTTTTTTTTTTTTTTTTTTTGAGACAGAGTCTCATTCTGTTGCCCAGGCTAGAGTGAGTGCCCTGGCATCAGCCTAGCTCACAGCAACCTCAAACTCCTGGGCTCAAGCAATCCTCCTGCCTCAGCCTCCCGAGTGGCTGGGACTACAGGTATGCGCCACCATGCCCGGCTAAGTTTTTCTATATATGTATTAGTTGGCCAATTAATTTCTTTCTATTTATAGTACAGACCAGGGTCTTGCTCTTGCTCAGGCTGGTTTCAAACTCCTGACCTTGAGCGATCCACCAGCCTTGGTCTCCCAGAGTGCTAGGATTACAGGCATGAGCCACTGAACCCGGCGAGTCTCACTTTTCTTAGATTCATTCCTCCAAAAATTATTTATCAAGCACGTTTTGTGTACTAGGCGTCAGAAGGGGACAAAATCAAATGACATGGATCTTGCTTCAAGAAACTTCAAATCTAGACCAGATTTTCTCAACATTAGAATTTGTAAAACATCGGGCACTGTTCAAAAGGCCACACCCCAGAGATCCTGGTCATTCCAGTGGCTGTGCAGCCTGGTCATATACACCTTCTAACAAGCATCTCGGGTGATGCTGAACTTGGCTGCCCACTGACCACTTTGAGAAACACTGATATTACCAAAACAAATTTATGTAGCAGACAAGACAAAACTATGTGTAAGGGGAGAAGAATAATTTTTTCCCCAACCCTCATAGGTTTTTCCTTGGAACGGGGCCCTCTCATAAAAGACAGATTAACAAAGCGATTAACAATTTCATATATTCGGAACACACATCCAGGGAAAGAGTAGTTCTCAGAGAGGGGCTTGGAATTCCAGCCCTAGTGGCATCTTCCAGAAAGAACAGTAAATTTTTAGAGGAGTGGCAAGACAAAGGAAAAGGACTTTGAGTCTCTAGAGGCGGCAACTTGGGGGAAGGCAGATAACTGGCAGATAAAAGCTAGTCAGCAAAGCTTTTTCATGCAGATTTTCCCGGAACTGCCTCGGGACAGATAATGGTCTAAAGTTGCTTTGTGTGGCCAAGCTTTATTCTCCCTGGTGGGGGACAGGGCAGGACACCTTTGTCTCTGTAAACCCACGTCCTGTGTTTAGGCTAAAGGAAGGAGGGCAGAGAGCGTCTGTTTCTTCTTGTCTTCAGCTCAACAATCTTTCGTATTTTGGGGTGACATATTCTGGTCTCCCACGCGTGTCGGGAAGCAATGGTCAGTTTCTCCAGAATGTTACTTACTGATAAAAAGAGACAGACAAAGGACTACTTAGGGGATCAGTTTTGTGAAATGACAGGACTTTAGAAAAGGAACAAATCCCTCCTGCTCGATTTCAGGCAACAGGTGCTCATTGTCTGACTCCTCAGAACACGGCGGCCTTTCGGTAAATATAACTAGAGAAATCTGCTGCTCTTGGTTTTTGAATCATTCATTATTTTGAGCAGCCTTTTAAAAAAATAAAAATAATAAAAAATAAAGTCCTGCAGGATATCTCCACTTAAGAACCTCCAATAAAACTATTTGTTGTCTGTCGCTAGGTAAAAGTGTGTGGGGTTTGAATATGTCTCTTTAATTGTGTACTAATGAGCCTGACTCCTATTGTTATATTCCTACATACTTTCTTACTCTGAACACATTCTTCTTCCTCCTTTCCTGGCTCCAAACTCCTTCATTCTCTCCCTTTCCTAATAAATTGTTGATGATTACTTTTCAATTCTTCAGCCACCGGGGCCCCACAAAACAGCCTTCGGTCCCTGATTTTATTTCCAATGTATCATCTCCCAGCCTCTCAAACTCCAATCAAAGTTTTTTTGTCCATTCATGCTTAGAGAGATAGATAGAGGAAAATGAGATCTTTCTTCCCAGAAAGACACGCAACTGGAAATTACTAATTAAGTAACCAGAAATTCTGTCAGTAAGGAGCCCCCTCCCCTGGCCTACTGAAGTGCCTCCAATAATCACTCTACATGGACTTGAATTTACTTCAGAGCTGGTTTTGACTTGCCATCTAAATTGCAAGGAAAAGGAAAACAAATCTCACTGTGAATTTGGGTTGTCAATTTACTATATAAATAGCCCTGTTTCCTCCCTCTGGTGAAACATCAAGTCCTGCTAAGAGCTCTGGGCAGAAAGGTCCCTTCAGTAAACATGCTTTTCTTTGGCAAATATTTGTTGTTGCTGATCTTACCCTTGGTTCAGAGATTAAGGCTCATTCTTACCTCAAAGAAGCAAAGGGTTTTCTGTGTGTATGGAATAGAAAGAAAGCACCTTTAACACTGTTTAAAAAAAAAAAATCAGGCCCACATAAACAAAATTCTAGAATAAATACTCCCATCCTCCAGAGTACGAGCTACTAGTAACATGATATATAATATTTCAGGCTCGACAGGATCTCACTGCCATGAAGCATTCTCACATTCCTGGGCACGGAGCTAGTCTAAACATTCATAGGGTTCAAGCTTCAAGGATATTTTGGCTCCTGTATCAGCAGAGTGGAAGCAGCAGACAATGGCAGGGTGCATGGGGCCTGCTTCCAGACATGGAGTAACAGAAAACCCAACTCAAAGGTCTTTCCAAAAAGGAAATATATTGATTCATAACAAGTGAAGCTCAGAGATAAAGCAGACTTCCGGTTGCCCTTTAGCTCGGGGTCAACTTTCCCTTTGATATTTGGCTGCTAAGAGGGGAGGATGGAGGCTTGAACAAAATCAGGGCTCTGTTTAGAGGAAGAAACAGACTGAGTAGGCTACCAACAGTGTCCCTACCTGAAGGCAGAGTCCTTGCAGAGTAGGAACACAAAATGAAATGGTGAAGTTAAAAAGGGAAGTGTGTTGAGGACCCTTCCAACTAGCAGATGCTAAGAAGACTCGATCATTCCTGATCCTAAATCCATTTGTTCAGCCATCTGAGCTGAAACACTGCATACTATTGGGACACTGTGCAGGTTCTGCAAGAGGTATGAGGTAAATGAAATGGCTCTGCCTCAAGAGTATATTGCACCGTGAGTCATATGAGGTATCTGTAAATAACAATAAAAGGTAGAATCACCTTGCGGGGATAGTTTGATCTCCGATAGGACTTCCAAGGAGGGTGATCACATCTGAGCAATTACGAGGAACGTGTTAGGTAGGGATCAAATCTGCAGGGTAGCTCGTAGGGATGGAGAAGCTGGGGACCAACCAGAGGAAGGGACTGCAGGAAAACGCAGAGCACCTGGTAACCATTTGGTTATATCCTGCACCTCCTGCAAGCCTGCCCCCAACCCAACCATGCCAATAAAAGGAAACCACTTGGGAGTCCTCAGTGTCTTCTGACCTGTTCCTCTCTCTGGAACGTATTTTCACTTTGGGTAGCTTCCTTCTTTACTTTCACTTTGTCTAGTTTCTTTCTTTCCTGTAATAAGCCGTTTGGGATTGCTCTGTATTCGTGATCGCTCTGTGATCAGCTCAGCTCAGTGCCAGTGCTCACTCTTGACACTGGGAACTGAGAACCAGGGAATAGAGATAGATCTAACAAATGGCAGCAATAAGAAGGTGGCTTCTGAGCTGAACCTGGTGTGAGATCGAATTCTACGTAGTATGGGGACAGGGAGTCCTGGGTGAAGGGATGGCAACAGGAGAAGAAAGTTAAAAGCCGTGATGAGGGAATTACCTTTAGTGTAAATTGCTCCCTGACCAAAAGGGAAAAGAGTCTGACCTGTCACCCTAGTGACTCCACTGGATATCTCCTTCAGATCCCCAACCACTCTCCTTCTCCACCTCATTCCATGGCCCCAGAGGCTGGCCTGATGGACCGCATCAGCCAGGTCTTCTTATTTTTTTATTTATTTATTTATTTTTTAAGACAGAGTCTCACTTTGTTGCCCAGGCTAGAGTGCCATGGCATCAGCCTAGGTCACAGCAACCTCAAACTCCTGGGCTCAAGCAATCCTCCTGCCTCAGCCTCCCAAGTAGCTGGGACTACAGGCATGCGCCACCATGCCCGGCTAATTTTTTCTATATATATATATTAGTTGGCCAATTGATTTCTTTCTATTTATAGTAGAGACGGCGTCTCGCTCTTGCTCAGGCTGGTTTCGAACTCCTGACCTCGAGCAATCACCGGCCTCAGCCTCCCAGAATGCTAGGATTACAGGCGTGAGCCACCTCGCCCGGCCTGGCTAGGTCTTCTCTATCATGGCTTTAGTTGGGCTCAGAGTGGGACAAAAGGGAGTGGAGGTATCATTCCTCCAGCTTTCTCCTTGCCAGGCTGCAGGTTGGCAGTGGCTACATTCCTCTCCCCAAAGCCATACTGGAGCAGCCATTCCCTATAACGAGTTCCCAGTATCTGCTCCCTCCCTCCCTGTTCACCACACTGTGATAGCGGCTTGGTCTGGGTGCTACATCATCGTGTGTTGGTCTGTCTTACACAGTCAACACCTTTATAGAAAAGTCCCTTCACTGAGCTCTCCCAGATGGGCCTTTTGCATATCCCATCTGCTTCCTCCTGGACCATGGCTGACAGAGACCTTCGTAGTCCACTGAACTCAGCCAATAATTTTTTTAAAAAAATTTAAAACACCTTTGCTGTTCTCTTGTTTCTTGGTTCTGGGTGTCTTGTTTCCTTATTTTCTAAGTGTTGCATAAATAATAAACTTCCCACCAGACCTCTAAGTTGTAACTCCTTCACCTCTACCCTGAAGAGCTAGATATCTTTCAAAATGTTGGAAATATGCAAAGGACAAAAGAAAAAAATAAATAAGTTAGACTTCGTTAAAATTAAAATATTTTTTGCTGCAAACAGTATCAAGAAAGTGAAAAGATAACCTACAGAATAGGAGAAAATATTTGCAAACCATATCTGATAAGGGACTTATATCCAGAATATATAAAGAATTCTTACAGCTAAATAATAAGGAAAAAAAAACAATGTTTTAAATGAGCAAAGTATGTGAATACACATTTCTCTAAAAGAGATTACAATGGTCAATACATACATGAAGAGATACTTGGCAACATTAGCCATTTGGGATATGCAAATCAAAGCCACAATCAAAACCACTTCATGGCCACAAGGATGGCTATAATTATAATAAAAAGACAAATAATAAGTATTGACTGGCAAGGATGTGGACAAGTTCAGAACCCTCATGAACTGCTGGTGGGAATGAAGGACAGTGCCAGCCACTTTGACACTTCTTCAAAATGCTAAACATAGAATTACTATATGTTTCCCTTTTATTTTTAGTTGACATGTAATAATTGTACATATTTATGGCATACAGAGTATTTCAATACATGTATACAATGTGTAATGAATGATCAAATCAGGGTAATTAGCATGTCCATGACCTCAAATATTTATCATTTCTTTGTGTTATAAACATTCAAAATCCCCTCTTCTAGCTTTTTGAGACTATGCAAAAAGTTACAGTTAGCCGTATTCACCCTGAGGTGCTGCAGAACACCAGAACTCGGTCCTCCTACCTAGCTGTCATTTCGTGACCATTAATCAGCCTCTCCCCATCCTCCCCTCCCCCACTTTTCCCAGACCCTAACACCCACAATTTTCTACTCCTAAACTTCCATTAGCTCAAGTTTGGGTTTTTTTTTTTTTTTAGCTCCCACATATGAGTGAGAACATGCAGTATTTATCTTTCTGTGCCTGACTTATTTCGGTTAACATCATGTCCCAGCAATTCCACTTCTAGGTATATATTCGAGAAGTAAAAATATGTGTCCACACAAAAACTCATACACAAATATTCATAGCAGCATGATTTAGAATAGCCAAAAAGTAGAAATAACCCAAATGTCCACCAACAAATGAATAGATAAAGAAAATGTGGTCTATCCATATGATGGACTATTATTGTGTAGTAAAAAGGAATGAGGCACTGACATGTGCTACAACATGGATGAACCTTGAAAAAACATCATGCTAAGTGCAAATTCAGTCGCAAAATACTACATATTGTATGATTCCATTTGTATGAAATAAGCAAATTCATAGAGGTAGAAAGCAAATTATTGGTTGCCTGGGGAGACTTAGGGAGATACAGGGAGTGACTGCTAATGGGGAGTTTCTTTTGGGGATGATGAAAAAGTTCTAAAATTGACAGTGGTGAGGTTGCACATTTCCTTGAACATACCAAAAAGCATCGTAAATCTCGAATCACTGTATTATATGGTATATGAATAATATCTCAATAAAGCTAATAAAAATAATAAGTATTCAAAAAATTTAAAACCTGCCAGGCACGGTGGCTCACACCTATAATCCTAGCACTCTAGGAGGCCAAGGTGGGTGGATCATTTGAGCTCAGGAGTTCGAGACCAGCCTGAGCAAGGGCGAGATCCCGTCTCTACTAAAAATAGAAAGAAATTAATTGAACATCGAAAAATATATAGAAAAAATTAGCCAGGCGTGGTGGTGCATGCCTGTAGTCCCAGCTACTCAGGAGGCTGAGGTAGAATGATTGCTTGAGCTTGAGCCCAGGAGTTTGAGGTTGTTGTGAGCTAGTCTGATGCCACAGCACTCTAGCCCGGGGAATAGAGTGATTCTCTGTCTCAAAATAATAAAAATAAATAAAAACAAATAAAAATTTGAAACCAATGAATTCTAAAAGCAAATGTTTCCAAAAATATCTTTGTCTAAAATCTTCAGACCATTTCGCATGACAGGTATTCAGTAGCCCCAAAAGTAAATGTTAGGACAAACTAGCAGCTCATTAATCACCATTCCCCACCTCATAACCCACTTTTTTTCCCAGAAGCTAAACACACCAAAACAACAACAGAGGCCTGGGATCTGCTGCTCCTGTATCAGCTCCCACCACAGCTGGAGCCGTGGCACTTCCTTTCTCAAGCTCCCAAAGATGCCCGGGGAGCCGTTAGAATCGGGCCAGACACCGAATGGGCTTGTCACATCTGGCTGTCTGCACTTTGTCCTCCAATTACCCAGCTCTGCTAACTGTCCCCGAGGAAGGCGGAAGCTGGGGGGGGGGGGGGAGTGACTAGCTCAGACCTAAACAGAAAATCTGAAGGGTCCTAGCACTTACAGCAGGGGGCCTCAAACTTTTTAACAGGGGGCCAGTTCACTGTCCCTCAGACCGTCTCTCGGAGAGCCATTGGAGAGCGCGGGGGCACATTCCACACATGCGCACTGTGGGCCCAGGATGAGCCGGCTGCTAAGCAGGACAGGCAGCGGTGGCAAAAACACCTAGTGGGCCGGATAAATGTCCTCGGCAGGCCGCATGTGGCCCCCGGGCCGTAGTTTGAGGACCCCTGACTTACAGGTTTAAGAAAACCCTCAGGATCCTCGGAAACTTTCACAAAAATGAAGACTTGGAGGGCTTGTTGCTTTCTAGCATGCCTGAATATTTCACAATTCTGAGTCTCCAACCTGAAACTAAATTGACCACAAGCTTATTGGCTACAGCAATTTATGTTAGGATAAAATAAAACACCTCTTACCTACCTCTGAGAGTATCTTCTCCATGTATTCATGATAACTAATATTATTAAGAGAACTTTTACAGCAACTTTAACAAAAGAAGAGCTCATTAAACAAACTTTGACACATGCATCAAAGGTTGTTCATGCAAATGCCCTTTCTGAGCTGGCATGGTGCTGTAGAAGAGGGTTGCTGCAGGAAGCCATGGCCTCAGTCTTATGTGACCCTGGAAACATCACTCAGTGCATAAAGCTCCACGGAATCAGTGCCCCAAACCAGAGTATCTCTGGAGGAACTCCTACCTAACTCAAAAAATAATCCATCAACATTAAGGACTTAAAAACTTTAACCTAAAATTTTTAAATACTGTCAGTGGTAAAAAAAAAAAAAAAAAAAAGGAAGTGTGATTTTTCTAAAATTACTGTTGCCTGCATCATTTTAAATCTTGGAGATAAATGGAAACTTCCATGAAAAATTCTAAAGTTCTAAGCAAATCAAATAGGCTGAGCATTAATAAACAGGAAGGTGAACTAGGTGGAATCGAATTTGTTGGATTCTAATGCGAGCAGGTGGAGATGGTGTTTTCAACTGTGCTACTGACATTCTAGGAAGAAGTTAAGTCAGTCTGAGATGTCGGAAGAACTTGTAATCCACATGTAGGTATATGGGCATGAAGTAGGTAAGCTCTAGAACCTTGTTGAGGACACAAGTATTTCCAGGAGTAGTAAGAATTTTGCAGAATTGGAGAATTGGTCATGCCTCCAAATTTGTGTGGTTTGTGAAATCTCCTCTTGCAAGAAGAAAGAGGAATAGCTAGAGTTACAGAAATAACAGTTGATGAAAACCTGGCAGTCAGAGGTCTGAACTTTGAACAATAGCAGAGAAGCTGAGAATTCTCTTTAATTCTGAGCCCAAGTTCCATGTACACCCACAGGAATCAGGGTGGCAGTGTGCGCTGGTGTGAGGCCCAGGAGAGGACCACAGAGTGACAAGGCACCAGGCTCTAGAGAGAGAGGAAAGTCCCAACAGGATGTGGACAGAGATGTTTCCCTGACCATCGTTTGCTGTGTAATCTCACACCTGAAACACACTGTAATTTACCTGCATATTATTTGTAATTTCTGGTTTGTCTGGCTGGGCGTGGTGGCTCATGGCTATAATCCTAGCACTCTGGGAGGCTGAGGCTGGAGGATTGCTTGAGGTTAGGAGTTCAAGACCAACATGAGCAAGAACAAGACATTACCTCTACTAAAAATAGAAAAAAGTAGCTGGCCATGGTGATGCACACCTGTAGTCCCAGCTACTTGGGAGGCTGAGGCAGGAGGATCGCTTGAGTTCAAGGAGTTTGAGGTTGCAGTGAGCTATGATGATGCTACTGCACTCTAGCTAGGGCAACAGAGCACAACTGTCTCGAAAAAAAAAAATCTGGTATGTCTAAGTAAAACGTGCCGTGTTATGATATATACATTGGTTATCATTTACGGTTCCCGGTTCACAACTCCCATTGTCCTTGTTATAATGTTGGGGTGCTTTAGGCCTGGGGAGCACCCTCAGGAGATAGAATCTCTCTCTCTGACCTCCTCCTGCCCTCAGTTTACCTGTCCAAGGCAGGACTCTGATCTGATGGTGAGTCCAAAGACCTTCGTTCCAGAGAGGATCCTGCCCCATATCCTGGAGGAAGGAACGCTGCACAGAGAGAGCAAAAGAATCTGAGCAGACAGGCCTGTGGGTTTAGATCATGGGATTTTTGTCCAATCGCATTTTCTACATGGTGATCAATCATGCCTGTGTGATGAACCCTCCATAAAAACCCAAGAGGGACGGGGTGGCGTACCCCAACTGCACAGGGACAGAAGCTGCTGTGCTCGGGCCCCTCACTCTGCGTATTTCTCCATCTGGCTGTCTATTCGCACCCTTTGTAATAAGCCAGTAAACGTAGTGAATGTCTCCCTGAGTTCTGTAGAGCTGCTCTAGCAAACTCACCAAACCCAAAGAGGGGCTCTTGGGAACCCCAACTTGAAGCTAGTTGGGCAGAAGTTCCAGAGGCCCACAACTCTGCCCCTCAGTATTCTGCACCTAAGCTATTCTGCTGTCTGATCCCCAGTGTTAGCTTATGTGGACCTTTAGTTACAGGCCTTTGTATCTTAAATCTAGATGTGTCTTCAAGGCCCGGCGCGGTGTCTCACGCCTGTCATCCTAGCACTCTGGGAGGCTGAGGCGGGCGGATTGCTTGAGCTCAGGAGTTCGAGACCAGCCTGAGCAAGAGCAAGACCCCATTTCTACTATAAATAGAAAGAAATTAGCCAAACAACTAAAAATAGAAAAAATTTTCCGGGCATGGTGGTGCATGCCTGTAGTCCAGTCCCAGCTACTTGGGAGGCTGAGGCAGGAGGATCGCTTGAGCCGAGGAGTTTGAGGTTGCTGTGAGCTAGGCTGACGCCACGGCACTCACTCTAGCCTGGGCAACACGGTGAGACTCTGTCTCAAAAAAAAAACAAAAAAACAAAAAAAAGTGTCTTCAAGAGGTATTTTGCTTTCAAAGTAAAAATCATTTTAGTCATTCAACAGACACGTGCTGATTACCTGTTATGTTTCAAGGTCCTGTCTACAAGACATGGAGGTCATGCATGCGAATATAACATGTTCCTGCCCTCAAAGAGTTAAGCCAATAGGTGTGTGGTAAATTCCTTGAGATTGGGGGTGGGGGAGGGAAAGTAGCTATTCTAACCATAAACGACCACTCTAATTTACTCAGTAACTTTTCAACTACAAAGTACGCTAAACGAACACACTGTGTCTAGTGACTTATAGATGAATAGGGTGCGTCTTGGATCCCGGCATTCCACAGCATAATTACATGCTCCTGAACCTTCTACTATGTACCCAGGGGGCAGAATGGAGGGCCACTCTCGCTGGTGCTCAGGGGCAGGGCTGCACAGACATGCAAGGTGAGCTGTCGCCATGCCCAGACCTACGCACAGGTGAAGAGAGGGCTGGGAGAAGGAACTGACAGGGTACCAGCCATGCCGTCCCTGCTGCTTGGACTACACATGTTCCAGCCACAGACCACTCCCCTATAAAACTGTGCCCCAAAGCATGGCAGATGGCACAAAGGGAACACTGTTGCCCGATTTATGTAAAACAGGGAAGGGTGATATATATATATATGTTTGTACGCACATGGAAAATGCATGGATGGAAACTTTAACTCCTGGGAACCAGTGGTTACTTCTCAGAAGAGAGGCAAGAGATCAGCATGGAAGAGAGATTTCCTTTTCCTCTATCTCCTTTTGTTTGATTTGAATTCTTCACATGAGCATGTGTCACTTCTTCAATGAAAGTGAATAAGAAAAGCAAGGGATATGTTAATTAGCTCCGCAGTGCTAATCGTTTCACAGCTTACACATAGATCAAAACATCACATTGTGTACCATAAAGGTACATAATTTTTATTTGTCAATTATACCTCACTAAAACTGAAAAAAAAAAGTGCATAAGAAAAAGTTAATAAACATTCAGAAATTTGAAAAATAAAATTTGTAGAATTAGCATACGACCTAGCAATTCCACTCCTAGGTATATACTCGGAAGAACTGAAAGTAGGGACATAAACAAATACTTATACATACATGTTCACAGTAGCATTAGTCACTAAAACCAAAAGGTGGAAACGACCTAAATGTCCATTGATGGATGAACAATAAGCAAAATGTGCCATATCCATATAATGGAATATTACTTAGCCAAGATAAAGGAATGAACTGGTGGCACATGCTACAATGTGGATGAACTTTGCAAACATTCTTCTAAGTGCAAGAAGCCTGTCACAAAGGGCCACACGTTGTATGATTCCATTGGCATGAAATACACAGAGTAGGTCAAGCCAGAGACAGACTGCAGATGGACAGTTGCCAGGGCATGCGGGAGGAAGAAAGGGGAAGCAACTGCTTAATGGGTACAGGGTTCCTTTTGGGGTGATGGAAAGGTGTTGGAACTAGACAGAGGTGGTGGTTGCACAACATCATGAATGCACTAAATGCCACTCAATTGTTCACTTCAAAATGGTTGATTTTATGTAAATATGACCTCAGTAAAAAAAAAAAAAAATAGATGTTTAAAAAGTACATGAGAGTGGGAGGGACACGGAGGTGGCAGGGGAGGGCACCGATCACCCTGGCAACGGCAGTCTGAGTGTCAGTGGCTACAAGGCAGGAGCCTGAAAAACTAGCTCCCCACACGTCAGCCTGTGTGCACATTCAAAGTAGGTCACTGAAAATAGAGCATAACGAGATTAGAACGCAAAATAATGATCCCAAGGCTACCCATAGTCCCGTCACACTAAGAACGACTGTGTGTTCATGTTTGTCCCGGCGTGGTTTTGACCAGGCACTTCTTGGGAAACACTGGCTTCATAGACCCTTTCCCTGGCAGCCCTGCTCTGGGAAGCGCTCGGGCTCGACAGAACGAACTCCTCATTAAGTTTCTCCTTGTGGAACTGGGCGCATGTCCAGCGTGGAGAGAGAAGCAGCCCATTGTAGCCGGGGCTGGCAGGGACCAGCCCTTGGAGAGGCTGCTGTCAGCCAGGTGAGGAGGGAGCGACATGGGGGGCGTCTGGGCAGCAGCTGTGGCCGGCGCTGCCCCCTCCCAGGCCAGGTGGGGCCACCTGCTCGCTCCTGCCTGAGCCCCCTCCTGCCCAGGCCCACCTCCTGCCATGCTTGTGTTCTCCTTTCTGCCTCGGCGGCTTCGAACCAAACTGTGGTGAGTCCCTGCTGACATGGGCTTGGGGCCCTTTCTCATAAATAGCCTCATGGGAAGCCCAGGTCCATCCCCTACCTGGCATTCATTCATTCATTCGTTCATTCATTTATTGACAGAGTCTCACTTTGTTGTCCAGGCTAGAGTGAGTGCTGTGGCATCAGCCTGGGACTACAGGCATGCGCCACCATGCCCAGCTAATTTTCTATATATATATTAGTTGGCCAATTAATTTCTTTTTATTTATAGTAGAGACGGGGTCTCGCTCTTGCTCAGGCTGGTTTCAAACTCCTGACCTTGAGCAATCCTCCCGCCTCGGCCTCCCAGAGGGCTAGCATTACAGGCGTGAGCCACCGCGCCGGGCCCCTACCTGGCTTTTGACCCCAGATCACTTAGGTGTTACATAGGTTTTTTCCGCGTCACCCAAAAATCATATCAAGTGTAAAGGCAGGGAAAATCTATCAGTCTGAAATGGAGACGCTTGCCCGCTGCTTCCCTCTGCAACGGCATGCTCGCGTCCGTCTGCTGGGGGCTGCCTCGGATTTCCTCACAGTTCGGAAGGATCAAAGTCTGTGCTCAAGGTGTGGGCGGGTTGGTTTCTTCGGAGGCCTCCCGCCTTGGCGTGTAGACGGCACCCTCCCCGCGTCCTCACGTGGCCACCCCTGTGTGTGTCTGTGTCCGCATCTCCTCTTGTAAGGACACCAGTCACACCGGATCAGGCCCACCCGTATGACCTCATTTTAACGTAATTACCTCTGTAAAGGGCCTGTCTCCAAATACAGTCCCGTTCTGAGGTACTGGGGGTTAGGGCTTCAACATAAGAATTTTGGGGCCCCGCGGTGGTTCACGCCTGTAATCCTAGCACTCTGAGAGGCCGAGGCGCGGGCGATTGCCAAGGTCGGAGTTCAAAACCAGCCTGAGCAAGAGCCAGACCCGTCTCTACTATAAATAGAAAGAATTAATTGGCCAACTAATATATATAGAAAAAAATTAGCCGGGCATGGTGTGCACGCCTGTAGTCCCTACTCGGGAGGCTGAGGCAGCAGGATTGCTTGAGC